CCCCCAAAAAAAAAAAAAAACAAATCTATTCCATCCGGGTCCCAAATCCTAAATCCGAACCCCTAAAATCTTACATAGGCCCCTCCAAGCGGCTCGGACCAGGTCCGCTACTGGAAGGCACATTCCTACAGTCCATCGCAGCCGTTTTGCACCTGGCGCCTCTGCTGACGTTGAGACTCAGCCTTAGGATCCGACGTAGCGACGCAGGGGACGAGTCCGGAGCCGCCTGGGAAGGATCTTGGGTTTCTGTACCCTATAACCCTAAACCCTAAACCCTATTCGTGCTTTTAGGGTTCAGGGCTTAGCGCTTAAGGGCCCCAGCGATTTCAGGACCAGTCAGGGCTGTGTCCGGTTGGGATCTTCGTCGAAGACAGGAGCCCAAAAAACACAGGAACGTCATTTTCGGAACACGCCCTTGTCCGCCTCATAAAATCACAAGAAAGAGCAATGCTCAAGCTTCGAAAGCCAGATATCTCAAACCCATACCTTCACAAAAGCTTTGCTAAAGTTTTGTGAGCCCTATAACACGAGGCGTGGGAGTTGGGTTTTCAAACAGAACATATATATATATATATATATATATACACGCATGTATATACACACATATAAACAAACATAAAAATACATATTATGGTGTTGAAGGGCCAAAATGAGTCTTGAAAGGCCTTACTCTTCTTTTGCTCGAGGCATGAATGCCTAAGGCAGTCTTTGCATTTTTTGCTAAAAGACGTCGTTGGCCTTGAGGACTAAGGACGAAGGAGCTACAAGCTTTTGGGGCTTGTCGGTTTCAGGGTTTCGGATTCCCAAGCAGGGTTGCCTTAAGTAGACGGTTTGGGGTTTAGGGTCCCTGGCCTGCTTATGCTGCGAACTTCAGGTCGTTCAAGGTGTTTGCAGTGTTTGCGTTGCTGGGTCCAAGTGACACCTGAAACTCCGCACAGTCTGGTGTCTTCATATAGTAGGTAGTAATTTGAGTCCTCGCATGCGTTGAAAATTTCAGGCATAGAGACCTTGACCTTCGAGTCCATCGAACTCTCATTGAGATAGTTGGTGTATTTCCTTGCTTCAAAGAGAGTTCTATCCCCATAATGCAACTCCCAAGCCCCGAGGCACGATAGAGTCCTTCAGGTAGAACCCTGTATGAAAGCTTGCAAAATTAGACAAACCAAGTTGTTTGTCGGAGGATGGCCTTTTCCCTGAAGCCTATGTTGCCCAAAGGTCCATGTGCCCGAGTAGTGTCTACTTTGGCCTTTAAAGTAGTCCCCGGTCCTGGGGGTATGACTCTTCACGGTTTCGTCTGTAACTCAGGATAAAATATAGACGGCCGGTTTGGGGGCTCCCTTTTTTCCCCAAGCTGTCCAACTTGAGGGAAAGAAGATTTAGAGCAACATCAGGTCGTGCATCCTGTACTCTACCCTAGACACCCTAAAACCCAAATTCTGAGTCAATTCAAACCCGTTCTTCCTCTTACAACAGGTCCGGTGTTAGTTGTGAACACATCGATGGAGCTTGGAGAGCTGCCTGGCGGCGATGATAGGTTTAGGCTTCAGAGTGTGGAGTTTTCGAAAGAAGTTTGTTGCAAGAAATTGGGGGGAGGGAGGGGGACAAAAGATACACAATTTGAGAGTAGTTCGTACGTCTTGCTCTCCCTACTGAAGGACCTTGTGACACCACAGTGTAAAGCATCGTCTGTGCCGAGCGATTTTTTCACGGTCCATATGACTACATGAAATTCCGAGTCTTGCAGCCCAGCTGTGGAAGTCCCATGCCACGATTGGGAGTTATGTAGCATATGTTCTTGGAGAAAGTTGAATGATTCTTTCCAGCTGCTCTGTGCGACCACCGTGAAACTGTTGCTCCCCTGTACACCCTGACGTGCACGCTACCTCCTATACCTCGAACCTTGAAGAGGCACCGACGGGTTCAGAGCCTTTGTCAAGAGTGATTGAGATAGCCGCCACGCCGTGCGTCCGAGAAGCATACTGCTGTGGCTGTTGAAGAATGCAAAAGCTCCTTAAATAGTCGATGCTGCAAAGATGCGAGGTGACCTCTCTGACCGTGGAGGACCCGTCTGCACATTCCTAGTGTGCAGAGTCCGACGCACATGGGTTGTCACATAGTAGCATGGTGCCCAAAACCGCAAGTTTAAGTGGGCTGCAAGACGTTACAGAGGGCATTCCATCACACACCTCACGACTGCCGGCCGTGGTAGCCGACATCGCCCAGCGTGCGGTGAGTGAATTATCCATCTCTGCATCCTTTTGGGCTTTCGGCCTCAGTCTAATCTAGGAGCCTAAATGATTGCCAATACTGTTTTGGGGTTCCTTATGATATGACCCCGAAAGACTATTATGTTTGTGAAGGCCCCTATATTGCTTGAAGCACCCTGCGCACACCGAAGGATCCATTCATGTCCGGGCGCGTCGACCGCGCGATCCTACACTTGGAGCACCTGAAGGACCATGGATAATGTAGAAGCCTAAATACCTATCAATGGTTTCCTTAGGGTTCCTTATACTGTGATTTTACTATAAAGGATTGAATAAAGGAGCCCAAAACCCTATTCTAATCATTTAGGCCCCTACATCAGCCTCCTTGAAACCATCAACGCCAGGTAGGGTTTGTTGGTTCTGAAAAGTCTGATTATAATAGACAGAAGCTGTAAGGATTTCGGAGCCTCCCTACTGGTACCTGGAATCTCGGCCGTTTGGCCGGGATGTAGTAGTTGGCTTACTGAATCGTTTCTGGAGGTGTTCAGAGTCTTATTTCCAAATCAGGAAATACGACGCCCAAGTCCCGAAGAAGGTAGGAAAGGCCGTCATCACAACCGACTGCGCCTCAAGTTGCAAAACTCCTAAACGGCAACGATTACCACGACGAGGAGCAGGAGGAGGAGGAGGAAGACGACGACCACTGCTACTGCTTGCTGCTCTGCTGCTACGACGAGCACGACGGCAACGACTAATTACCTCTGCTGCTGCTGCTGCTGCTCCTGCTACAACAGCAGTAACAATAACAACTACTACCACCAACGCCAACACCACCACCACCAACAACACCACCAAAACCCCCGCCGCCGCCGCCGCCGCCGCCGTCACCGCCGCCGCCACGGCCACTGCCACCACCACCACCACCACCGCCCCAAAGTGGCCGAGTAACAAATCCTAGAAAAATGCGATGCATAACTCGTAGGTAACGCTTTCGAAAGAAAGTTCAGAAGCATTCCACAAAGTGTATGATATACACATATGGATATGTAAGAATGTAAAAGCTAATTCAGTCCAAAAAAGCTGCAGACAATTCCATGTTTGCTCATGGTTCACAACACCGCGCTGAGCCCGAAACCGTAAACCGCAAAGCCTAGACAGAAGCCCGGAAACCCGTCGACAAATTTTCCCAAACCCTCACAAGGATCCTCAAACCCTTTGCAACAAACCTTGCAGCCTAAACCCTAAACATAATCCACCAACCTTTGCCAAGAAAGCCTTAAACCCTAACCCGAAACACACATCCTTGAACCCTAAACTCTGATCTCTTTGAACAACCCTTGAAGAAACCCCAAAAGCACCCTTAGAGGAACCCTCTGAAATTCTCAGTACTTAAACCCTGAACCCTTAAAGGCTTAAAGGAACCCTGCCCTGATCCCTCTGGACCCTTAGAGGAACCCTACAAACCCTAAGCACTAAACCCTAAATCCTAAACCGTAGGGAGCCCTAAACCCTAAACCCTATAAACCCTAAACCGGAGGGAGCCCTAAACCCTAAACCCTAAAACATGAAGCCCTTCGCCAAAGCCCGAGGAGCTCCGACTGAGATCCCCTCAGCTTCAAGGTTTCTCGATCGCCCCCGGAGTTTAGCAAAGCGGTTCTAGGGTTTGGGGTTTGGGGGGGTTGGTGTTTTGGGGTTTCAGGGTTCGGGGTTTCAGGGTGTTGGGTAAATTGAGGGTTTTGGGTTTGGGATCCAGGGTTTAGGGTTCAGTTGGGCAAACGAGGATAGACAAGCACCTGCGGGTAGTTGTAAGTACAAACAGCTCTCTTTTACATTATATATATATATACCATGTATTTATGTATGTACATACATACAAGTACATACATACATACGTACATACATACATACATGCATACATACATACATGCATACATACATACATACATACATACATACATACATACATACATACATACATACACACACGCACACGCATGCATACAAACGTACAGTTGAAAACATACTTCACATACATACATGCATGCATACACACAAGACACACGTACATACACGCACACCACACACACACACATGGTTGCGCCCTGGCAGGTCCCGACTGCTTCATGCGGTCGCATCATGCAAAGTCATATACATGGTTTTGGGTGTTTGCGGTACTGTCTAGGTCTCTAGGCCTGGACGGGTTGAATGGGATTTTACACATGTAGGTAATGTACTGGGTGAGGCATAATCCCGATTGTAGGAAGTGTTGCTTTCTTCTGAGTTTGTGACTTCCGGTCTCGCGTTTATTTTGCAAGTTTATTTTATGGTATTGGTGGGATCCCGCGCGCCATCAAGCTCTAACTCTCTGTCACATGCTGCCCGGTTAGAATCCCGAAGCAATCTTTCAGCTCATGGAGCTAGGAATACTGAAGTATACGTTGAATCATAGAGGTCTCTGAAACAGGGATGTATACTACAATCCAGTCAGGCCTCCTGATCTGTATGATGTGAAGGTATAATGTCTTTTTGAGCCCTCAGGAAATTTTTAGTGCCTCGAATTTTCGAAAAGCCCCATTCTTGCAGACTCACTAGTTAGCAGGTGAGAAATTCCGTGCACAAAGCCTTCGCATCATTGTAACTCAACTATATCAAGGGCCCCCACCCCTCCAGCACTTGCTGAGTGGTGTAAGTACGGGGTTCGGGGTGGAAGTATGCAGCTTGTAAGAGCTAATGTACATGCTGCAATAAATGCTTAGACCAACAACTGCGTGTTACTGTTCCAAGGACTGCCATGTTTGTGTTTGGTGTTTAGCTTAGAGCTCTTGCAAGTTGAAATCAATTCCATGAGTGAGCGACGTGTAATTGCTTTTGGGTTCGGGGGGTGTAGATGCTCATGATGTGGCCCCTGGATGTATCATATGAGGTCTAGGGGTATGGGCTTGCAGATCAGGGGGCAGGAATGCTTCTGTTGATAACCCTAAACCCTAAACCGAATCTCAATCCGCAAACAGCTTTTTGCTGTTGACCTTGGCGGCTGCCTGCTGAGGTTCGATGCCGCCTGATCTGTCTCGGCTCAGGCCAGGCGGTTAGGGTTCCTAGGTTTGGGGCTTAGGGGTTTAGGGGTTGTGGGGTTGTGGGGTTTAGGGTTTAGGGGTTAAGGCGGTCTTGGTTCCTAGGTAGTTCGAGAAGCTTGAATTCCAAAGCCCCCAACTTCTCCAGGCCCTATCTTCCCGGAACCCCAAACCCAGACTTGCAAATGCGACTCGACATGAGACTATTTACGGTTTAACAGTAAGGGTACCCTAAAACTCCAAACCCGCATGACACCCCCCCCCCCCCCCCCCCC